TTCTCAGAGCATTTAATATACATGCCCATTAACCTTGACTTTCTAAGGTGGAATCTAATATGTGATATTTTTCAGATGTATTGATCCTCATAGATCTCTCATGTAATTAATGTTTCCTGAATAGCACTTTGGGAAAGACTGCCTTGGTATGTATTTTTAGAAGCAGAATTGTTGGGTCAACCCAATTACGCTTTCCACTGATTCTTTTTAAAATTATGAATGAGTCACTATTCTTTAGGAAATGAGAATCTCAGAGGTTAATGATCCCCTCAGGGGGTGATGGGAAACTGTAGCTTGACTCAAGAAAATATAGCAGGGGAAATATATGTGAATAACCATATTATAGTCTACACTATTTATATATAACTATATGATAAAATAGAGTAGACAGAGTCGTGTAATTGAGTTGCGAGTTTATTATTATTTTTATTTCCTTTTTTTTTTTTTAAATTTTGAGACAGGGTCTCACTCTGTCACCCAGGCTGGAGTGCAGTGGCATGATCATGGCTTACTGCAGGCTTGATCTTCTAGGCTCAAGAGATTCTCCCACCTCAGCCTCCCAAGTTGCTGGGACTACAGGTGAATGCCACCATGCCTGGCCAATTTTTTATTTTTTGTAGAGATAGGGGTCTCGCTATGTTGTCCAGGTTGGTCTTGAACTCCTGAGCTCAAATGATCTTTCTGCCTCAGCCTCCCAAAGTGTTGGGATTACAGGCATACCCAGTCTTTTCTTTTTCTTTCTATACTCCACTTCTAGGAGAAAGAGCAGAGTGAGAAAAAAAAAGATGATGCTAATGCTCAATATTTACAGTGTGCAGAGTACTCTGTTATGTATTGTCTCATTTGACTCTAACAACACACTTTAGAGGAAATGCAATGTGACCAAAAAGGTTTACTTGCCAGGAAATGGTAGACCTGGGATTCAAACTTGAGGCTCTGACTTCCAGTTTAATTATTCTTTTACAATTTCGGTAGTACTTTCAAAAATTAAATTCCAGGGGTGTCTTTTAATTAAGTAATATTCAAGCCAATGTTTAATACCTCCAAATTTTATGGTCCAAAAAAGCTGCTGATCAGACCAAAGATCCTGGTGCTAAAGGGAGAGGCTCAGCCTCCAAGTGCTTGAGCCTGAATGTCTGTTTCAAACGCTGGCTCTGCCTCTCACCATTGTTTTAGTACTGGGAAAATAATTTCACCTCTTATTAAGTTACCTTGTCACCAAAAGAAAATGAAATTATATTTAGTAAATTGCACCTGCAAAGACAGACAAATGGCCAACATGTTTTTTTTGGTTTAAGCTTTCAGAAAAAGGATTAACATAAGATTTTTCATTAACATTCAGTTAATGAGAAATATTTAACTATCCATAGTGGCTTGTTTCTCCAAACACTTTTATCAATTAGTGTTTAACTTTCTCCAGCAACTTTCCTGATTTATACCTGCTGTGGTTTGAACATTTGTGTTCTCTCCAAAATTCATATGTTGAAACTTAATCACCAGTGTGATTGGGGAAGGTGGGAAGGAATCATTTACTATAGAAACTGGGGTTCTGTGTGTAATGTCAATGTAGTCTTTAGGGCTCAGATGAGGGACTGTAGGCTATTTGTGCTGAGTCAAAAGACTCTGTGCCAAGTGCAGGGCCAAGGCATGTGTATAGTCTGGATTTATAGGCAGAAATGACATAAATCATAATCTAAGAAAGTAGAAGTGTCCAGGTCAGCAGCAAAGATTGTATATCAAACACTGGCCGGAATCCAAAGTGATTTCCTCCTCTGGCCAAGACTAATCCTTGTTCCTGTTAGATGAGCAATGACACACAAATTTCAGTATAAGAGAACCAGAGACCAAGCAAAGAGTTATTTTGTGTTTCAGTTATTCTCTACTCAAAACAGGATGATATCCAACACTCTTTTAGTATAAAAACCATCAGAAAACTAGGAATAGAAGAAAACTTCTGTAACATGAAAGAAATCATTTACGAAAAACCCACAGCTAACATCATAGTCGATGGTGAAAGGCTGAAAACTTTCCCACTAATATCAGGAAAAAGAGAAGAATGTTCACTTACAGCCCTGCTACTCAACATTGTATTTGAAGTTCTAGCTAGAGTGAATTGATGAGAAAAAGAAATACAAGGCACCCACGTTGGAAAAAAATAAGTAAAATTATTTTTATTCACAGATGTCATTACTCTATGTACAGAAAATCCCAAATAATGATCAAGAAAACCGCCAGAACTAAGAAACAAATTCAGGAAAGTTATAGAGTACAAGGTCAACTCACACACGCGCACACACACACACACCCCAATTGTGTTTTTACACAAGAGCAATGAGCAGTCTGGAGAAGAAATTAAGAAAGCAATTCCATTTACAACAGCATCTAAAAGAATAAAGGAACCAGGAATAAATTTAACCAAGGAGGTAAAAGACTTGGACATTTAAAACTAGAAAACATTTCTGAACTATATTAAAGAAAATCTAAATAAATGGAAAGACATTTCATGTTCATGGAAAGATTTACATTGCTAAGATGTCAATATGACTCAAAGCCATTTACAGATTCAATGTAATTCTTATCAAAATCTTAATAGCTTTTTCTTTTTTTCCTGTTTTTGCAGAAATGGGAAAGCCCATGCTTGCATCATATGGACTTGCAAGGGGCCCTGAGTTGCTAAGACAATCTCTATTAAAGAAGAACAAAGTTAGAGTACTCACACTTTCTGATTTAAAAACTTACTTTAAAATTTAATTTTCCGATTTAAAAGCTATTGAAATCAAAACGGTATGGTGCTGGCATAAAAATAGGTAAATATATATACAAATGGAATAGAATTGTGAGCCCAGAAGTAACCCAAACATTTACGGCCAATTTATTTTGACAAAGGTACCAAGACCATTTAATGAAGAAAGAATAATCTCTTCAACAGATGGTGCTGGGACAGCTAGATTTCCACATGCAAAAGAATGAAATTTGGCTCCTACTTCATCCTATATACAAAAATGTACTAAAAATAGACCAACAACCTAAATATAAGAACTAAAATGATAAAACTCTTAGAAGAAAACATAGGGATAAATCTTCATGACCTTATTTGTCAGTGAATTCTTAGATATGGCACAAAACACATGGGGGACAAAAGAGAAAACAGATAAATTGTACTTCATTCAAGTTAAACACATTTGTGAATCAAAGGACATTATTAAGAAAGTGTAAAGACAACCTATAGAATGGGAGAAAATATTAAATATTTGCCAATCATATATCTGATGAGTTTAATATACAGAATATAGAAAGAACTCCTACAATTCAATAACAAAAAGACAACCCAAGTTAACAAACGGGCAAAGGACTTAAATAGATATTTCTCTAAAGAGAATAAACACACGATCAATAAGCACATGAAAAGATGCCCAACTCATTAGCCATTAGGAGAGTGCAAATACAATTCATCACGAGATACCACTTCACACCTACTGGGATAGCTATACAACACGCACATACGCACTCACACCCCTCCCAGAATATAACAAGTGTTGGCAAGGATGTGGAGAAATTGGAACCCGTGTATATTGCTAGTGGGACTATCAAGTGGTACAGTCACTGTGGAAACAGTTTTTGAGTTCCTCAAAAAGCTAAACACAGAATGATCATGTGACTCAGCAATTCCACTCCTCGTAAAATATCTAGAATAAGCAAATTCACGGGGACAGAAAGTAAAAGAGAGGTTACTAGGAAATGAGGGGAAGGGAAATGGGAGGTCACTGCTTAATGGATACAGAGGTTTTGCCTGGGCTGAAAAAGTTTTGGAAAATAGTGATGATGGTTGCATAACATTGTGAATGTAATTAATGCCAACGAATTGCACACTTAAAATTAGTAAAAATTGTAAATTATATGTTCTATATATTTACCACTATATATTTTTGTACAATAAGAATATAGAAAATGTTTGAGCAATATTATTTAGGTAAGCTAAGAGGGCAGGTAAATATCAGAAAAAAATCTGTGTTTTAGGGTCTTACAATTTTAAGATGAGAAAATCTAAATAAATCATTCAGTAAAAAAACCCAAACATTGTTATATACCATTCAGATACCATCACATGTTTTGAACCCCTGATTTCTTTTTTATTCATCAGTTTAAGCACATCTATAGGCTCTGGGTTCTAACAAGTCTGGGCTTGAAAGGAATGTGAGCTACTCTGGCCATTTTTTTTCTTCCTACTGCCTGTGTAATTCTGGTATATTCTGGCCATTTTTGATTAACAGTGACGGCATCTGTTACTTCATTAGTGGGGCTTAATGAACAGGTGCCACTCTGTTATTTAGTTGCAACATTAAACAGAAAGCTGAGAAACTTTTGGACATAGATTTCCCATAAGAAAGTTATCCTTTCCATGATTTCAGTAATATGAAATTTTTCTTTCTGAGCAAAAAGTGAACATGGAACTTGGCATGACTTCCTTGAGACTATTAACCATCACCATTTATTGTTTTCGTTATTTTTTTTTCAATAGGGTCTATAAACAGGAGTTTGGTCAAGAGTTTCAGAGTAAATAGTGATGTAGGAAATACGGTTGTCTGGGTCCTAGGGGTTGGAACAAAGGATGTTTGGGGCTGAGACAGGATCGAGGCAGTGGGCCCTGTGTGAGAAATCTGGGCAGCTGGGCAGAACCCAGCTACTGGGTGCCTGAGCAACAGGTCATTTGCTGGGAGAGAGGAGGATGACAAGCAGCAAAGCTAATCATGGTACTCAGTCAATCTTGTGATTTGCCCGAAATCCTTCTTAAAGAATGAAATGCATTTAAATAAATGAGAAATACTTCTTCCTCCATGGAGGTAAACTTAAATATAGTTGAACCTACAGGTGAGAGCAAGGAGAGAGCCTGGGCTAAAGGAAATCGGTATAGGAAGAATCATAAATGCTCTTACGTTTGTGAAAACATTGTCAGTGGTAAGGCACTAATCAAACCTCAGTGCTCTGGTTGTTCACAGAATTTAAGGGATATTCCTTAGTAAAATGTTCTGATCATCTTGGAAGCCCTGCTGGTAAAACAAAGATGAAAATATCTTCATTTATCACTATATTACATCAACACGGTAAGAAATGGAGGGCTAAGAGGAAAAAAACAAAGGTTTAAATGGTATGTTTTTAATCTAGAAAAAAGAAAACCTCCCTGGTTTTAATTACAAATTTTAGGCTTTAAAAAATGAGTTTATCATTTGCAGTCTCAGGGAGAAAATATTCCCCAGAAAATAAAGAAGACACCCTGCATAACGTAGCCCCAAATAGATCTGGGGCTGTTTGAATAAAGAAGGGTATTTATTTGATGTCTCTGCTCACTTGCTTTCGTAGCCAAGAGCCACATAGAGTGTTTACTATATGCTCAGAAATGTTCTAGGGACTTTAAGAGTATCAAGTTATTTAATGCTGTCTCTGAGTGAGGTACTGCTGTCATCTCCACCCTGGAGATGAGGAAAATGAAACACTGAGAGATCAAACAACTTGCCCAAAAGCCCACAACAAGCCACCGTCAGCGTTAAAACACAATGTCCACATCCAGAGTCCACACTCCCAGCTGCTGCGTTATGCTACCTCTCACAACTAAAAGGAAAGGCCTTGACTGGTGCAAAGAAATGATGCCGAATCGGCGCTTCCAAAGTGTGATCTCAAAGACACTGGTCCCTCAGTGTGTTTCATGGCTCTGGTGAAATGCTGAATATTACACATTGCTCTTCCCCACATTCACTGCAGAACCACAGTAAGTACTAGTATTAAAGGGTGTGAACGTTTTGTCATAAATAAATCTTTTAATAACACTGGCATACACCCAGTACAGGATCTTTGTTTGTATAATATCTTATTACTGTATCTCAAAATCAGTATTATACGGATGACACTTTGAGAAATATTGCCTTAAAAAAGAAAAATGCTGTGGTCATCACTGGCCATGCTCCAAAAATACTTGTTGCTAACACTTTCTTTGACTAATGCAAAGCTGGAAGCCTAATTTTGAGAATCATGTGTACTAGGCAAGGCAATCCCATTATTTCAATTTAGTGAAATGAGCCTTAAAGATAATACCATACATTGTTCCTTGATCAAGAAAATATTATCCAAATTTGATTTTTCTTTAAAAATCTTTTCTAATTCTTAATTTTCGTGGGTACCTAGTAGGTGTGTATATTTATGGGGCACATGAGATGTTTTCATACAGGCATGCAATGTGAAATAAGCACCTTATGGGGCACGGGGTGTCCATCTCCTCAAGCATTTATCCTTTAAGTTATAAACAATCCAGTTACACTGTTTGTTTGTAAATGTACAGTTAAGTTATTATTGACTATGGTCACCTTACTGTGCTATCAAACAGTAGGTCTTATTTATTCTTTCTATGCTTTTGTGCCCATTAACCCACTAATTATTTTTATCCATTAACACATTAACCTATTCATTACCCATTACCCATTAATTTTTCTGGGCTTTGAGATCTCTTTTCCATCTGCTTTTATTTTATTTTACTTTTCTCATTTTCTTCTGGTCTTATGTTAGCCTGGACTGGCTTTGGTCAGCTTCTTATTTCAGGACATTTTACTGCTTACAGATTATTTTGGGCCCCAGCTAATGAAATCTTTCAAAATTCACTTAAAAGAGCTCATTTTCATCAGCTGATTTTCATGAGTTTTTTTCCATACAGAAAATATGACAGATTACTTGTCTTTAAATATGTATAAGCAGCTTAAGTCTGTTCTCTGGATACTTCAGTGATGGGGAAGGGAGATGGTTAGATCCTCTCTTTTTGGCTAAAAGAGTAATTTCTGACCTGGTTGCTGAACTGAAAATGGATTTCCCAAAATGGTCAGAAATCTGAGCCCTGTGAAAATTCCACCCTCTTCCCCCTACTCTCCTGAATAACCCTCTGCCCCATTTCTCAGGATCTGGCCCTTTTAAACCACCATATTCTATATTTATAGCCTTTATACTGCTTTCTGTATGACTGATATTACTATTAGGTAACAATTTTCAATGGCAGTTTAAAAAATTATGTAATTCTGTAAATACTCTTTCTCCATTAATGTTGTGACAGATTTATGAATGTCAAAGCCATACTTCTTTATAGAAATGAATTTAAGGACACAAGTTCCATAAGTGACCATAAAATTATGGCATAATTCACAAGCCACAGAAATAAATTCGTCTCACTGTCTCACAGTCATATCACAAGTGAGCTTTTTGCTTTGAGATGGCAGAAGTTTTGGGGGCCGTAAATGCCTTCCTATTTTTTAAAATGCTTATGTTTACCTGTGTGGGCTTAGTCCTTGTTTCACGTGAGGGCTAACAGTGTATTTCTTGCCATGCTACAGCCCAAACTGGAATTTCCTGTAACCCAGTCATAGGCTATGTGTTTATGAGTATGTATATGTGCGTGTATGTGTTTATAAGTAAAAGAATGTGTGGGCTGGGCGTGGCGGCTCACACCTGTAATCCGAAGACTTTGGAAGGCCGAGGAGAGCGGATCATGAGGTCAAGAGATTTACACTGTTCTGGCCGACACGGTGCAACCCTATCTCTATTAAAAATACAAAAAATTAGCTGGACCTGGTTGCGCAGCCTGTAGTCCCAGTTACTCAGGAGGCTGAGGCAGGAGAATTGCTTGAACCCAGGAGGCGGAGGTTGCAGTGAGCCGAGATCGCACCACTGCACTCAAGCCTGGTGACAGTGAGACTCTGTCTCAAAAAAAAAAAAAAAAAAGATAAATAATGTTTAAAGGTAAAACAGTGAGACATATCGTTCATAAATCCACTACCATAAACAGTCACTATTAATACTTCAGTGACTCTTCTTGCAGTATTTTTTCTACCATACCCTTGCAGCACTGAGTACAGCATTGTTTTTTGTTCCTGTTGTTAATTCGTAGGTAAAACCTTTTCTCCCTTAAATTTCAATTTCTTTAATTATTATCGAGCCTGTCTGTTTCTCCTAAACAAATTACAGCTCCATGTTTTCTTTTTTTCATGTTCTTTGTCCATATGATAAACATTTTTTTGTACATTCATGTATGAAATTTTGTTTTTCTCATCCATTAAGGACAGGCTGTGTTTGCACCTTGGTTCCACCATTCAGTGACTGTGTGTCTTGGACAGCTTACTTAAACTTGCCGCATTTTTGGCTTCTCATCTGTGAAGTGAGGTTAGTAGCCTCTACCTTCCAGGGCTTGTATAAACATTAAATGAGTAAAACATGTGAGGCACAGTGTCTGGCTGCCGTAAGCACAACGCTGTGTGTTCACCATCCATTTCACTTTCCTTGGCTTGGAGCTGAACTAGGCTGTCCCGCTCCCCATGGACACGTCACCTGAGGACTGCCGCAGGTGGGTCTTTATTCCATCCACATTGCTAGAAGTGAACGACTCTGACAGGATAAAGTCTCAGGATGGAAAGAAGGTGTTTCCCCAAAGCATCACGTGGAGGAAAGCCACGAAGAAAAGCCACCTGACCCTTATCAGAGTCTACTGATATCGATTAGATTGTTTTTCAGAAAGCCACTGGATTTGGGGGTTTACTGATGGCAGCAGCTAGAAGTATTTACTCTGCAATACACTTGCACATGGTAAACACTTGAGGAATAGACGCTATCGACACTGCTATTATTATTCACAATAAAAAGGGATGGCCAGTGTTAACCTTAGACTTGAATCATACTAAATATTAATTGGTCAGATGGATTTAAAACAATTTCCTTCACTCTGAAACTTTCTCTCCTTATCCCATTTTTTTTTCCAGCTGTGTCTCACCCTTACCTCATTAAAAAAGGCATTTTATGTCCTTAGGAGGCTGTGTTCATAAGACTTATGAAGTACAGTAAGCATTTTATATTTTATTATAATCAGTTCCATTTCTTTAAGACCTCTACCTAACCTGTGCTCCTTAAAGCCACTAGTTCTTATTCATCTGCACGATTGCAGTTATGAAAAAGAAATTAATACAATATGTGGGTGAAAGGTACTGATTAGAAATGTTTTATCTACAGTCATAAATCTATTTGGACATAATTTTGCATATTTATAGACTATCAAACTTATGTGCATGGACATGTGATCCCGTTGAAGTATTGCAAGTTATTCACAGACAAATGAGTAGGTATAAGATGCCTAAAGTATTATGAGCTAGAACAGTTTAACTTCGTTTACAAAGCCCCACATATTCCATGTGTGTATTTCTGGGAATGAGAAATAACTTCAGAGTGCTCTGATATCAAGTATTCTGTTATGTTTTTTACAGGTTTTCCACAAGGACCCATTTAGTGGCTAGCATTGTGTGACTCTGACAGGACCCGCGGAGGCGAATGAACGTGTTGGGATGGCTGGCTGTTCTTAGTTGAATTAAATTACGGTTCTTCACAGTGACCTCTGGGGGATTCTTCTACACTCGCTTCAATCCACCGGTTCCTTCCCTTCTCATCTATTCTTTCCCAGATTTCTCACAAAGGCAAAAATGGCCCAAAGGGCGTTGCTGTATCACTAGGTGTTGGGAGGCTGAAGTACTGATGGTTCCCTTTCTTGGGATTTATTTCAGTGTGGTCATGACTAATTGACTTAAAATGGGAGTGAGGGGGACTTCTTGTCAGCAAATGAGGCATATTTAGGGTTGATGGTTTCCTACTCACAAAAAAAGGCACATCAAACTTAATGTAAGACACCAGGCACAACTGCTAAGCACAATTAGTAAATGGGTAATTGCATTTTCATATGATCTCATTTGACCCTCATAGCAGCCTTTCCTGTGACATGGCAAGAAAATAGTATTATCTTCCTTTTATTGAAGAGAATACAATCAGAGATGGTAAGATAATAAGAGCCAGTATGCCCTGCTTAAAGCTGAATCTACACCATGCTAATATTCCAAAACAGCATGAAGAACCTACTATTGCCAAGTGCCACTGCAATTGCCGTGTGACCTTAGGCAAGTTACTTAATCTATCTGTGCCTCAGTTTTATCATCTGTAAAATGGGATAAGAATACTGACTTTATGGGGTTGTGGGAGGGTTACGTAAGTCAACATACATGGTGTTCTGAGAACAGCTCTGGTCATAATATGTATTCAATAAGTATAAGCTATTATAATATATTGTGGAAATAAAAATTATCACTCCTAATTAGTAAGCGAAAGAATTTGGTTTTAAAACAAGGTTTTCTACCTCTAAATCCAGTGTTCTTTTAATCATAGTACAGCTGTCTCACACTACCTTACTGTTCTCCCAAAGCCAGTTAGGTGTCATACAGCACCATGGGAATAAAGTTAGTATTATGTCTTATATCAATATCATCAATTTAGTGCTAAAATGCTAATTGCTACTTAAATATCATAAACACACACTAATGTACATGGTATTTTTATTCACCTTTAAAGATTTGTAAACTAAAATCCATTCTCTTAGTTTACTTTTGAGTAGATATTTTTAAGGGACAGTGTCTCACTCTGTCACCCAGGCTGGGATGCGGGGACCTAATCATAGCTCACTGCAGCCTCAAACTCCTGGGCAATCCCACCTTAGCCTCCCAAAGCCTTGAGTAGAATTTCCTGTAAATATTCTGGAAGGAATTTTTCTAACATTAGAAGCCAAGGTAAGCACATCTTGATTTGGGGACTTAAAACATACTCGGAAACTTGAATAATAATCCCTTATTTTAAAAAAAACTTCACATGGTTTGGGGGACCATGTGAAGGTTTGTTATATCATATAGGTGAACTTGTGTCATGGGGTTTGTTGTAAAGATTATTTAACCATCCAGACATTAAGCCTAGCAACCAATAGTTTGTTATTTTTTTCTGCTTTCTCCTTCCTCCCACCCTCACCCTCAAGTACATCACAGTGTGTTGTTCCCTTCTTGGTGTTCATGAGTTCTCATTATTTAGCTCCCATTTATAAGTGAGAGCATGTGGTATTTGGTTTTCTATTCCTGTGTTAGTTTGCTAAGGATAATGGCCTCCAGCTCCATCCATGTTCCTGCAAAATACATGATCTTGTTCTTTTTTATGGCTGCATAGTATTCCATGGTATATATGTACCGAATTTTCTTTATCCAATACCCAGAGGAATATAAATCATGCATCATAAAGTCACGCACACATGAATGTTCACTGGATAAGAATTCGTATTCATTGGTTTATTCACTCAAGAAGTATTTACTGAGTTCTTCCTACATGTAAGGATTCTGTTATTCTCTATGAAGATGAAGAAGTGTCTTAAAGTTTCCTGCCCTCAAAAGAAGAAAACATAATAATTTTGCTTGACATTTCCAACAGTGCTAACAATATATGAGGAGAGATAAATAACTGGATTTTTCCTAAATGGTTTTTTAAAAGAGGGTGTGAAAAGGATGATCGTGTTAGTGCTTCTCTAATTAGCATGTATTAAAACTGAGGTTCTTCACAAAATAATAGTCCTCCCTGCAAAACGTACAGCTCATCTTAATTCCTCAAATATTTGTTATTGACACAGCATATCACTAGGTGGACATAGTCCTTGTCCTCTAGCAACCTGCGGGATAGGAGAGCAGATAATACCAGGCAGAAAATGATCCACGGTTTTCAAATGGTATGTATGTAGAGAAAGGTAATGTTGAAGTGGTAGAAGTAACCAAAGTTTTAGAGAACAGGTGGTAGGTCCACAGGGTCTTGAAAAGCAAGTAGAATTTTGACAAGTGCTATTGTTGCATAGAGTAGAAAAATTTAGCATGCGACAGAGCTGCTGTGCTGTCCAACATGGCAGCCACCAGCCACATGCTGCTATTTAAATTTAAACTGGTTACAATAAAACAAGATAAAAAAATCAGTTCGTTGGTCACACCAGTCACCTTTCAAATGCTTTATAGGCACCTGTGGCTACAGGCTACGACTGGGCAGCACAGAGGAGAGTATGTCTATTGTAACAGAAATATCTTTTGGAAGGGGTGCTATCAGACTGGGAATGAAGAAAGGTCAGGAGGTGGAAATAATGAATTATCTAAATTTCTGTTCAAGCCCTTAGACAAAACCCCAGAAATAATAATATATCCATGTATTTCCTCCCCAAATCTAAATTGGAAATACATGCCTATGTAAGGATCAATGACTCGATTGTTTCAGTGGCTGGTCTGGTTCAATAATCATGCTGAGCTCATACGATAAATCAATAATGAAGACATAAAACTCAACAGGCCTATCTAATTGCTTCATGTATCTGAGCATGCAGATCGCAGTGGCTGAAAGCCAGGCCCCAGGGCACAGCCAAGTGTGGGTGCTGCTGCTTCTGCTGGCAGGAGCCTGTTGTCTGAGTGGGTCTCAGTGGCTTGGGGCTGTCACAGTTGCAGTTCACTAAGAGCATGTCCAATATCAAATTATTTACTTCTTTGGAAATAGTGACAGCATCCATTGCAAGCCTAAAAGGTAGTTAGAGACTTGAGGAACTAAACTCTAAGCAGCAAGTCCTGCTCTGTGAATATGGATGAATTGAGTAATGTGTGGCTACAATCACTGATAAACTTGTGAAGTGCAAACTTCATCATTTTGATAAGAGCTTCTGTTTGTTCTGTCAGAAGGGAGGCTTGGCTCGGCCTCCTAAGGTTGTAGGGGGGTTTTTACAAAGCCATCCAGGCAAAGGTTTCTTTTTCCTTGAGGTACAAATGTGTATAGGGCCAGGAAATCATGTAACAAAGCTTAAGAAGTCTACGGGTTTTTGAGGACTTAATCTGGGGCGAGAATTGCCTTCTCAGATACCTTAACTCCCAAGAAGTGAGTGCTCGTGAACAGAACTGGTGGGAGCCTCCATCTGCTGGTCTTAACCTTTGGATACAGTGTGCAAGTTTCATGACAGAATCATTAAGATAATCAAACTGTCCTGATTCTGGTGCGATTCATGGATGCACTGGTAAATTTAGGTAAAGCGAAACTTACCGCATAGTTTCTGTTCTTTAAAATAAATTGGAAATTAGAGACTAAAAAAAAAAAAGAAAGAAAAAGAAATCTATGGGACTCT